CTGATGCACAACGTAGCATGGCAATGTTCTCTGTGGTCATGTCAAAGTTAATACCGTAGCAGAACTTAGCCGTTAGCTCGAATGCTTCAGAGCCTCCAGGGATATCTGGGATCTTGATAACACTAGCATCTGAATCGGTTTTTGATTCAGACACGAGTTTTTTGATAAGTCCACATTTGGACAAGAGTGGAAACTGCAAGAATGTGATCATGTCATTAGTTTTGCATCAAGAAGGTAAATTTAGTTATAGATTTTTTTTTTTACCTTGTGAAGTGAAAAAGAAGCTTCTCCTACATGAATGGTGACATCACTAGAGACTTCCTGGGAAGATATCCTAAAACAATGTAAGAAAATTAGGTTTTTATGTTTTTTTCAAATACAAAGAAGTTATTTTACTTGGAAACTGCAAAGAAAATATGGATAGAGAAGTAAAATAATAAAATTTAAGGGAATTAAAATACCATTCACTGGTTCTTTTCATGGCTGAGGAGAAAAGATCTTTCTTCTTTGCTGACATATTACGAGCAGTTTGCTCGCAGTTTCTTCTCACTCAAGAAATCCACCATGGAACACTATTTTAAGTTCTTCTTATGAAGATGTGCCGCAATGTAAAAAAGAGAGCAATAATATTAACTTAAAAGAGTTTCTTTCTCTATTTTTTCCTCCAATAATTGCGACCAAACAGAGAAAAAACAGAACATAAAATCCCCAAAAAACAGAGAAGCACAAAACTACCCTTAACACCAAGAGCAAAGAACAAGACAACGCAAGAGGAATGGAGGTTAGTTAAGTAATTTTCATGGAAAGTACAAGATAGAGAGAAATTGTCTAGGGACTGTTTGTGTGTGGTAGTGGTTTGGTTTAACAACTTTAGAAAGGTCCAAGTGGATCAGACACATCTTTGGACCAAAACAAATAATACCAAACTGAAGTAGAAAAGAGTATTGATTGCTCTCCACAAATGTACATATATCTCTTACAAAAAAATTACTATGTTTGCTATATATTGGCTTATGGTAAGGAGAAGAGAGGAAAGGAGTATACGTAAGCTGGAGAATCTTGATTTTCCAACAGAACATGAATGATAGATCTTGGTCCCTACAAAGAGTCTTATCAACTTTACACTCTTCCCCTTTTTTGATAATTGAAGTCACTATATGCCCCAGTGTTTTGATTGAGACCTAACTCAAACTTGCAATAAATGGTGTCTTTAAATAATATAAGACGTCCGTAACGAAAAGTTTAAAAATTTCAAATAGTGACGATAATAAAACAGAAAATGCTAGTCTGACTTGACTTATTCACCTATAGATGTTTTCATGGCTTTGGTCAGTTAAAACCCTCCATTGTTTTTCCCTTACCAAGAAACTCTCTCTGATGAGAAAAAAAAATGACAAGATCTTTCCTCAAGTTCTCAACATTTGGAATCACATTAGCTCATGTCAATCTACTCAACCAAGTCAAGATCAATAGCTTTTTGCAATTGTAGACTCCACATTATACATTGACCTCTCATGTTAGCCTCTTCATCCATCACATGCCTCTATATATTCCTCAAATACTATGAAACCTAAAATCCAGCTCTTGATGATGGGTTTCTGGAAATCCCTACCTTCTAAATTAACCATAGCTGTAGTAATCCTGTCGCATTTGTCGAGGATCAAACTTGTCTGGTACTCTCTGGTACAATCATGTATTGGGCCTTAAATCAAAGTGGGCTATGTGGCCCAACGATAATTAATAAGATAAGAGATGCTCGTGAAAACAAGAGGAGATGCCCACGAAAGCATAAGTTACACTATTAAGATAATTAAGAAGATAAGTGAGGCCCATTTAACTTTTGCGGTTAAAGGCAAAAAGCATGAGGTACATTATTGCTTTTTGATAGATTGCGTGAGTATTTTTTATATTAAAAAAAAAATGGTGTTGGAGTAGATCTGGTAGGCACACAGTTCAACTTGAATCAAGTTCCAAAACAAAGAAAAAGCTTGGTCCAATGAACTTACTGATACAACTATTCTTTTCCAAAATTTAATATATATAAAGTAAACAAGGACGTGGATATGAGTCCAAGACCAGTCGTGGCATTATCACTGAGAGTCCAGTGAAATGGACCAACCTGCCAGCTTCTGCTGTTGCTATAAATTTTATTTTTCTCTCGTTTATAAAAGATAACAATGTAAGAAGGAAAACTGAGAATGTATCAAATTTTATTTTTCTCTCGTTCATAAAAGATAATGTAAGAAGGAAAACTGAGAATGTATCAAATTTTATTTTTCTCTCGTTTATAAAAGATAATGTAAGAAGGAAAACTGAGAATGTGAAATGTTATAATTATTATTGATGGGACGTCAGTTAGGTCTGATCTGATGTAAAGACACGTTGATTCATGTCGTACCATACGAACCAAAGACTCTAATTGCCACACACATTGTTTGGACTCCACTCGTCCAAAGCATTGGTTAGCTAATGTCTTCACCAAACTCATTCAGATGATTGACAAGTAGTTCGTTATGTATACGTTCTTATGCTTATTAATATCAACTGGTCTTAGTTTACACTGCTTTTTGACGTTTATTAGTACCAAAATATTATATATTTGACATTTTTTGGGAGTGTACTTTTTAAAAAAAGGTTCAAACAAAAAACTTGATTTATACTTCGTGTTGCATTGGTGTTAAATTTTGTTTTTATATAAATTTAAGCTATAAAATTATGTTTTCTTATGGCAACCTTATGACTTATAGCTAATCATCTTGCATATATCTTATGCTCACGAATGGAAGATAGCATGTTGTGATTTCATAGTGTTTGCATACATTCGACGTTTATTTTAGTTGCTTTGTTTTTAAATTTATCCATGAGAATCAGATTCAGTAGACTGTAACACAAACTTTAAGTTATCAGACATAAATCATGATTGTATAGGGCAATCAATGTACACACGCTAAAAATCAGAGAAAACTTGCTAATCATGATTGTGCACGCAATCAAGGCCGCATCCACGGGAACGTGACATACGTTTGATGTGAAGTATTTACAAAAAAGGCATTGGTGTGTGTACATAAAGACATTTTGATGTATAATGAGGACACGAGTATAATGTATTCTTGTGTATACAAACAAACAGAAGAGAGTCACGAGCACCTAGATTCCTGTATAAACGCACTTCGAGGTAAGACAAAATTGTTGACTCGAGGTATCGTACCGTTTCGGTGGAATCTAACCAGACTCGAGATGTACCGTACCGTACCGTACTCAAGCGAACCGGACGTAAGACAATTAGTCGGTTTAACAATTAATAATTTTTTTTGCCGATATCAGGGAATATCGAAACAACTAAAATTATTAGAATGTTATCTGTGACGAAACAGATTAAATTACTAGTGTACGCTGTATTAGGCAGGAAAGTGGTATGATGGGTCGTTGAGAAAAAAATAATTATGATGTTTTGAAGATTGATTAGAAACTTTGATTAATTAACTTAATTAGGCTCACATGTCGCGTATTAATATCTACTCGGTGCCACTCATCTGTCCCAACTGTAATTATTGAATCACCGAATAATTATAACTCCTTCCATTAACTGGAACACATTGGTTAACTTTAGCAACTTCATAGTTTTAGTAGTATGTACTCTAAAGGGACTCATAAATGTTTTCTTATTTATAGGATGTTGAGTACGGTTAGAGAAAGGTTACAAAGATTTGTCCAAAAAAAAATGTTGTAATTGAGATCGGACCGTGAAGTATGGTTTGGAGTTTGCTTTTAGCTTTTGTCTTTTGCAGAGTTGAGATCTGGTTCTATTTTGGAGATAAAGAGATCTACTATTAAATTGCACGTTAAGACACATGGGTCATAATCCCAAAAGCTGTGCTTAGATCCAAATCTAAGCCTTGCGTGTGTTCTCACTGTAGCTTCGGCATTGATACCAACATAAAACTGTCCTAGCTAGTTTCGTATGCGCATAAATCACTACATTATGGTATAAAGGGATATCGAAATAATTTTCCTTCAAGTAAACAAAACTAATGTTAGTTGTTTTCATTCGTATGATCAATTAGATACGTATTGAAATTCATTCAGAAATGTGTATATCGTTTTCAGAATTTTTGGATACTTTTTCTGTTTAGTGATTTTGTATTCTCTAAGCTCGTTGGTGATTGTGATACTGATATACACATAAGGCACACTGCCTTCGTGAGTCATGACTCATGACCCACTCAGTAGTCATTTCCAGTGGTTAATTATATCGTAAAGCATAGTAAGATTTTAAGATTCGAATGCGTATGTGGAGACCTATGTAACTTATAAACTACATATATTCTACATAAGAGAAGAATTTGATTTTACATAAATACACCACCAAACTTCGGACAGCACAACAAATAGTCATTTACTATTATAAGTTAAAAGGCTATATAGTATTAATGGTTTTCGAACGTCAAACATCATTATTAATTTTTGAACCACATAGCATGATGATTCTATCAACCATCTTTATAGTGTCGAATAAGTTCACAGTAAAAGCAGAGAAAAGGACGACAATACTCTCGAGATAACAAAGCAAACATAGGCTGTAATAGTACATATGTTTAGACATTCATGAAATAAAAATTAATCGACTATAGAAAAAAATAGTGACAAAAAAAGGAATATAGCAAAAATAAATTAATTATATTTACTCTTTATTTCGGGTAAAAAAATCATTATATTTACTCCTTATCAAATTTGTTATGAAATCATTTCTTTGCAATTTTTTTATTTATTTATGAAATTAATGAAATGACTATTCCATCATATCCAACATAAATAGTAAAAAATATTTTAGAATTAATAGGATAGCTCATATCATATCAACCATTCCAAATATTGATAGTTTTTTAAAATAAATTCTATTCATATCTTAGAAAATATATTTCATATCATATAATTCCAAATTATTACAACCTCTGAAAAACATATTAATTCCTATAAACATAGGTACACACTCAGGTGAACAAGAAGAGTCTTAAAACATTAAATTTGACTAGACAAATAAATCAGAGGCTAATCTAAGAGAAATACAAAAGTAATCACTCTGAAAACAGAAGAGTGGACACAACACCAGTCTCTTATTCGTACGCATGATATTACCTGCTTTTCTTTCTCTACTAATCTCTATATAAACCTCATCTCAGCTTAACCTTTCGTCTTCGATTCACAAGAGAGAGAGACCACCAAAAAGATATGTCTTCTCCTTCGTTTCTCTCCTCCTCCACTGCTTTCTTATTCCTCGTTCTCCTCTCCCTGGGTTCCTGCCACGTGTCCCATGGAGCTCAACAAGCAAAAACATACATCGTTCACATGGCCAAATCCCAGATGCCATCAAGCTACGACCTCCACTCTCTCTGGTACGACTCCTCTCTCAGATCCGTCTCGGAATCTGCTCAACTCCTCTACACCTACACCAACGCCATCCACGGATTCTCCACCCGCCTAACTCCCGAGGAAGCCGACTCGCTCATGACTCAGCCAGGTGTCATTTCCGTTCTACCTGAGCACCGCTACGAGCTACACACCACTCGCTCCCCACTCTTCCTAGGCCTCGACGAACACACCGCAGATCTCTTCCCCGAAACCGGCGCGTCCAGCGACGTCGTCGTCGGAGTTCTGGACACCGGAGTTTGGCCGGAGAGCAAAAGCTTCTCCGACAAAGGATTTGGCCCGATCCCATCCACCTGGAAAGGCGGATGCGAGACCGGGACTAACTTCACGGCTTCCCTATGTAACCGTAAACTAATCGGAGCTAGATTCTTCGCGCGGGGATACGAAGCAACCATGGGACCAGTGGACGAATCCAAAGAATCAAGATCTCCCAGAGACGACGACGGTCACGGAACACACACCTCATCAACCGCAGCTGGATCCTTCGTACAAGAAGCTAGTCTACTAGGCTTCGCTAACGGCACAGCGCGTGGGATGAATCCACGCGCTCGTGTAGCCGTTTACAAAGTCTGTTGGTTAGGTGGTTGTTTCAGCTCGGATATTTTAGCTGCTATTGATCAAGCTATAGAAGATAACGTTAACGTTTTATCCATGTCTCTCGGAGGTGGAATGTCTGATTACTATAGAGACGGTGTTGCTATTGGAGCGTTCGCAGCCATGGAAAAAGGTATATTCGTTTCGTGCTCTGCTGGTAACGCTGGTCCGACCTCTTTCAGTTTATCTAACGTAGCTCCGTGGATCACCACGGTTGGTGCTGGTACGTTGGATCGTGATTTTCCCGCGCTTGCGATTCTTGGTAACGGGAAGAATTTTTCGGGTGTTTCGTTGTTTAAAGGAGATGCACTCCCGCCCGGTAAGTTGTTACCGTTTATTTACGCGGGGAATGCTAGTAACGCTACTAATGGGAATCTATGTATGACGGGGACTTTGATTCCGGAGAAAGTGAAAGGGAAGATAGTTATGTGCGATAGAGGAGTGAACGCTAGAGTTCAGAAAGGTGATGTGGTGAAAGCTGCAGGTGGAGTTGGTATGATTCTAGCGAATACAGCTGCGAATGGCGAAGAGCTTGTTGCTGATGCTCATATGTTACCTGCGACTACAGTAGGAGAAAAAGCTGGTGATATCATCAGGCACTACGTTTTAACTGATCCGAATCCAACGGCTTCGGTTTTGATCCAAGGAACTGTGGTTAACGTCCAACCGTCTCCGGTTGTTGCGGCGTTTAGCTCGCGAGGACCTAATTCGATTACTCCCAACATTCTCAAACCGGATTTGATCGCTCCCGGAGTTAACATCCTCGCCGCATGGACCAGTGCTGCTGGACCTACCGGACTTCCTTCCGATCCTCGCCGCGTGGAGTTCAACATTATCTCCGGGACGTCGATGTCGTGCCCTCACGTGAGCGGTTTAGCTGCTCTTCTCAAGTCTGCGCATCCCGAATGGAGCCCCGCGGCGATCAGATCAGCGCTCATGACCACCGCGTACAGATCATACAAAGACGGTAAACCTATCCTTGATATCGCGACGGGGAAGCCTTCGACGCCGTTTGATCACGGTGCTGGATACGTGTCACCTACGATCGCTACTAATCCTGGACTTATCTACGATCTAACGACTGTGGATTACTTAGGTTTCCTCTGCGCATTGAACTATACACCATCGCAGATCAGAAGCGTTTCGAGACGCAACTTCACTTGCGATTCCACCAAAACTTACTCCATCGCTGATTTAAACTATCCGTCTTTCGCCGTTAACGTTGACGGATCAGGAGCGTATAAGTACACGCGCACTGTCACGAGCGTTGGAGGAGCTGGGTCCTACTCTGTTAAAGTCACTTCGGAGAGCACAGCAGTCAAGATTTCGGTTGTACCGGCGGTTTTGAATTTCAAAGAAGTTAACGAGAAGAAATCGTATACGGTGACGTTTACGGTGGACTCGTCTAAGGCGTCTGGATCTAACAGCTTCGGGAGCATTGAATGGTCAGATGGGAAACATGTGGTGGCCAGTCCCGTGGCGGTTACCTGGACGTAGTGGTTATGACAAAATTAATGGGCTTTAATGGGAAGAAGAAAGTCACAGATATTGTAGTGCCGTTTATAAGGGCTTTTGTTTAGCGAAAACGGGATGCAGTCTTGGCTTATCTAGTTTGTTTATTGGAACTCTTGTCGTTGTGTTTTCTCTTTGCTATTTGAAGAAAAGAAATGTTCTCCGGCCACAAGGAACTGGGTTGGGTCTTTAGCTGTTTTATCATGTGACTTGAATATTTAAATGGAAAGTAAAAATGGTTGGAAGTTTGAGCTGTTAATGTGTTATGACTACTTTGATTTTCTTGGCCGTGACACCCATCTTGTAGAACCTAAAAATTACAGTACTAAATATGTTTCTGAGTTGATGTGAAATCATATCAGGCGGGTATGGTAGATCATAATTGTATAGAAGAAAAACAAAATTCATAATTTAGATTTTTGTTGATTCATGGCTTTTAAGGACGGTATAAGCCTAATGGGCTTTAATATGCTGGGCCCATAAGAGGTGGCATTTTAAACTCGTGGATCTTTTGTTTTCTGTATTCTGCTTCTCCAGTTCAAGAATATAGAAAATTGAATTCCGTAACACATGGTTATGAATTTTGGCTGGCCTCGTTTCTTAAGTCAACGATTTTGACAGATGATTAAATACTGCCCAAGTCCATTTCGTATCATGCCTTCCACGGCCAATCTTGGTTCACGTTGCATGACTGCAAACCTCTCTTAAACCAAATATTAGGCGTACAAGACTATAGATATCCACATGTGCAAAACAAATATACATTAACATATAAAAATATTATTCTTATCCTTAACATGTATGTGTATAGTTCAAGATTACCAAATTATATGAAATTACAAGCAAACTTTTTAATGTGATAAAGATATAGCAAACCTAACAGAAAAGGCCATTCGATAGAAAACTATTACTAATCAAGTTCCTCCAATGCGTGATAACAATGTGGTCAGATGAGTTTGAAAATGCAAATTCAATAATAAAAAGAAAAGTAGAAACGACAATAAATACGTCGTTTCTTGCGGCCCTTTATTTTACACGACACACAAAAATCTCACAAGCCACGCATGAGTCACAAACAATGAACAATATAGTGCCATCAAAGAAATAAAAAGTATGTTAACAAAATCGATAAAAATAGAAAAGTTGACAAAAATATATTCGTTGAACCATACGTCTCAACTATCTATGGTACCACATTTACCTTTAGTTTTCCTAGTGCTCTATGTCGAGCATAGCTTTTATAATTATACAACTCGACCAAGACTTATCATATGATTTCAAATCCACATTCTACCTTTTATTTCGTAGATGACAAAATTGTCTTGATCATGAGAAAAGTTTCTTTTTCATGAATCTTATTAACCCACATCCTTCTAGAATTGGACATCGAAATATATACTTTAATTTAAATATGCAAATAGTCACTTTCCTATTGTATTTATAGTCGTACATGTGGTCAGAGTCTAATGCTTAACAACTTATAGAAACATCTGTAGACCATTATTACACGTTTGAAAACGAGAAAAGGTAAGAAAAAGTCACACAGTAAAATAGACGTTAGATCATTCTAATTGACCTGTAGATAGAAACTAAAGAGTTATGAATGCATAAAATAAGAAAAGGATGCATAGTTTATTCTCTACACACACATAGAAACGATTTTAAAACGCTCGTAGTTAACAACAAAACATCAAAAGAAATTATAAAAGCTCATGATAAAATGTATGATGCATGTGGAATATGAATGGTGATGGTGCTGGGTAAAGCGTAGCTTTCGCGTGCCAAAAATAGTGGCCTAGGTCCACTGCTCCACATACTCAACCTTCTAACTTTCTAAGCTATTCTTATTATTTATATTTTCTTGCTTCCTGTTTTATTGTTTTTTCTTTCATTTATCAGAAAAGTAAGCAGAGATATTATACAAACAAAGCCTTCCATAACTTTATAGCCTCTGTGTTTGATCATGTGTATTCTTACTAAAAAGGTTCTCGAAACATTTTAGTTTTTACCCGCCCAAGTAAATATAAAACACTACACAACCTAAACGCAAATTGACCATTAATTAAATCAACATACTTAAAAGCATATACGATGCAAATAAATATAAGATTATGCTCAACTGTAGACAATTGTCACGACTTTTTTTTGTAACAGCACGAAACTAAACGAAGAAAAGAAAAAGAAACACAATGTCTAGTAAACTAGGACTCATTCTTCTCATGATCTTTGTTATTGGTTAGAAAATAAATTTGCATGTAAATTAAATTAGTTTTTATTTCCCGATGGCTTATGTCTATTTCCAAATATTATTATAATTACGTATATATATATATAAATACATTACACATGTATTTAATGTATCAAAGACTATAGATTTAAGTGGAAAAATAACAAAAAAGAAAAAAGGATCGATATCGTTTTGACTTTTTCAACATTAGACTTTTTTTTGTCTTCTTTAAATATTCGCCCACTCTTACGTTATGTGTTTAAATTTAAAAAAACTCTCTCTCTGTCTCTCGTTGGAAACTCGGAAGCTTCGAAAATGGGGAGGACTTGTACGGAGGAAGACGAAGAAGAAACTCTTTTGATCTCTCACCACAATCAAGATCAAGAAGAAGATGACGCACAAGAATCAGAATCAGAAGAAGAAGAAGCGTTGTCTCTGTCTGATATGCCGGTAAGTTTATTATCTAACGAGAAAGTTCATTTCCCAAAACAGTCAAAGTCAAAAGAAGAAGAAGAAATCGATTCCGGTTTCGAATTCGAAACCGGGTCATCGTTTCGACTCGGGTCGGATTCGTGCGAACCGGAGATGAGTACCGCGGACGAATTATTCTCCAAAGGCCGAATCTTACCTCTACGCCACTCCATCAGCTTAGACGACGCCGGTTCAAACCGGTTAATAACCAGATCCGAATCAGTCGAATTCCGACGAACCGGAACCGAACCAAACCGGAAAATCAAAAACAATTTCATCGATTACAGTCAACCGAGTCCAAACCCTCAGATCAGACGATCATCGAGCATGACGGCGAGGGTGAACTCGATCAGAAACCCTAAATCATCTTCGATTTGGGATTTTCTCCGGTTAGGACTCGTCCGTACGCCGGAGATCGAGCTTCGGACAAGCGCGAGAGTCTCGGTGAGTCGGAACAGTAGCTGCAGCAGCACAAGCACGAACTCGAATTCGAGATCGAGGAACCGGAGGAGAAGCTTTCTGTTCGCGGATTGTAAGTGTTCGGTGGCGACGGAGACGATCGTACCTGTGAAAATGGGTGTGAAGGAGGAGAGAGAGAGGAGGAAGAAGACGGCGAAGAAGGAGGAGAAAACAGCTGTTGCGCGTAAGAGGACGTTTGAGTGGTTGAAAGAGTTATCACAGGTAGGTTCTGTCGTTGACCATGGCAGAAGAAGCTTGGCGTGATTTGATGATGATTCGAGCAAACAAGCATCTTCATATTTTTTTGTTTTGTCTTTACTATTTTAAATGTATTTGTGTTTTTAATCATTTCCTACGTAATTATATTTTTGTATGTTAGTGGCTAATTGACATTATTATACTTTAGTTTTCCATATAAATTATGGGTTTTTGCGATGTCAAAAATTTTAATGGGTTTTTTTGGTAACCTTTTTGAATAAGTTCTAAATCATATTTTCTCTAAACACTCCAATAGTATACCACTGGTTAATACTATTTCTTAAATTTTCTAGTTGTGTTGTGTTTTTTTTGAGCTAAAAAGGGGTATATTCGTTCCAGTTGTGTTATGTTCAAATCATCTAAGTTTACTTTTATTTTGAACAACATCATCTAAGTTTACATGAAAGAGAAAAACCCCAAATCTAACATTTCATATTTTATCCTGGGGTAATAGTACACATTCAAATAGCAAACCTTTTTTTATAATTGGTTTAATTTTTGACGACTAAGACATGAAAGAGGCATACACGTATATGAGATGGTATGAAAGTGAAACATCATTTAAGAAATGAGAATGATGTGAAAGTGAAATATCATAGAGGTGTGCTTAACTTTATTTTTCTTTTCTTTTTGTTTTTCATAATAGATAAGGAGTGGTGCTTGGCATGATTAAAGCAATGATGTTTACATCTAATAACGTGAATTTCTCACATTCAAATCGTATATAATATTTGATGTTTTACTACCTAATCCTCAACTCACTTTACTAATGCATAAACGGCTTCAAAAGTCTACCCAAAATCTCACTGGAAACTATCAAACTAGAAAAATTAGAAACTTTTTTAATTTTTGTTTTAATGCATATTTACATCAACAATTGGCATATTATGAATATTAAAGAGGTTTGAGACCTTATATGCTCTAATTTCTCTAGAAAATAGAGGTTTTATATGGGTTAGGACACTTATTAGATCGTATAAAAACTATAGGTATCATTTATCGGAAAATTCAATTTTTTCAAAGGTGTTAGTTAACCCACATATTACAAGAAAAATTAGATTTTTTTTTAATTTTCGTTTTAATGCATATTTGCATCATAAACTGACATATTATGAATATTGAAGAGGTTTGAGTTATATGTTCCCATTTTTCTAGAAAATAGAGATTTTATAGGGATAAGTACACTAATTAGATCTTTTATGAAGTTTAAATCAATTACTCACTGGAAAGTTAGAAATGATGACCATGTACCATGAAAATATGTTTAGCCTACATTAATATACATTGAGAGTGTGCTTTGGTATTTTTAAACAACATTAAGTTGTTTAAAAGTTATAGATAGCATTTATAAGAAATTTCCATTTTTTTCAACGGTATTAAACCACATAGTTTAAGAAAAATTAGAATTTTTTTTTATTTTTGTTTTAATGCATATTTGCATCATTAATTGACATATTACTAATATTAAAGAGGTTTGAGACCTTATATGTTCTCATTTATCTATAAAATAGAGATTTAATAGAGGTTTAGACACTCATTAGATTGTATATCAAGTTTAAATAAATTACTTGTTGTTAGAAATGATGAACATATACCATGAAAATATGTTTAGCCCACATTAATATACATTGAGAGTGTGGTTTGGTATTTTTAAACAGCACTAAAGTGTTTAAAAATTATAGATAGCATTTATCAGAAAATTCAATTTTTTCAAAGGGGTTAATCCACATATTTCAAAAAAATTAGAATTATTTTTTATTTTTGTTGTAATGAATATTTGCATCATGAACTGAAATATTATGAATATTAAAGAAGTTTGAGACTTTATATGTTCTCATTTTTCTAGAAAATAGATATATTATTAGGATAAGTACACTAATTAGATCTTATATGAAGTTTAAATAAACTACGCGTTGGAAAGTTATATATGATGACCATGTACCGTGAAAATATGTTTAGCCTACATTAATATACATTGAGAGTGTGGTTTGGTATTTTTAAAAAGCACTAAAGTGTCTAAAAATTATAGGTAGTATTTATCAGAAAATTCTATTTTTTTCAAAGGTACTAACCCACATATTTCAAGAAAAATTAGAATTTTTTTTATTTTTGTTTTAATGCATATTTGCATCATTAGTTGACATATTATGAATATTAAAGAGGTTTGAGACCTTATATGTTCTCATTTCTCTATAAAATATAGATTTTATAGGGGTTAGGACACTTATTAGATCGTATATCAAGTTTAAATAAATTACTCGTTGGAAAGTTAGAAATGATGACCATGTACCATAAAAATATGTTTATCCTACATTAATATACATTGAGACTGTGGTTTGATATTTTTAAACAGCACTAAATTGTTTAAAAATTATAGATAGCATTTATCAGAAAATTCATTTTTTTCAAAGGGGTTAACCCACATATTACAAGAAAAATTAGACTTTTATTTTATTTTTGTTTTAATGCATATTTGCATCATAAACTGACATATTATGAATATTAAAGAGGTTTGAGACTTTATATGTTCCCATTTTTCTAGAAAATAGAGATTTTATTGGGATAAGTACACTAATTAGATCTTATATGAAGTTTAAATAAATTGCGCATTGGAAAGTTAGGTATGATGACAATGTACCGTGAAAATATCTATAGACTACATTAATATACATTGAGAGTGTGGTTTGGTATTTTTAAAAAGCACTAAAATGTCTACAAATTATAGGTAGCATTTATCAGAAAATTCCATTTTCTCAAAGGTATTAACCAACATATTTAAAAAAAAATCATATTTGCATCATTAATTGACGTATTATGAATATTAAAGAGGTTTGAGACCTTATATGTTCTCATTTCTCTAGAAAATAGAGATTTTATAGGGGTTAAGACACTTATTAGATCATATATCAAGTTTAAATAAACTACGCGTTGCAGAGTTAGGTATGATGACCATGTACCATGAAAATATGTTTAGACTACATTAATATACATTAATAGTGTGGTTTGGTATTTTTAAAAAGCGATAAAGTGTTTAAAAATTATAGGTAGTATTTATCGGAAACTTCAATTTTTTAAAGGTGTTAACCCACATATTACAAGAAAAATTAGATTTTTTTATCTTTGTTTTAATGCATATTTTCATCATACTCAGAATTAGTATGAAGATAAAAGAGGTATGAAACCTTATAAGTTCCCCCTTTCTCTAGAAAATAGAGATTTTATAGGAGTTAGTACAACAATTAGATCGTATATGAAGTTTAAAAAAATTACTCGTTGGAAAGTTATAAATGATGACCACGTAGCATGAAAATATGTTTAGCCTACATTACTATACATTGAGAGTGTGGTTTGGTATTTTAAACAACACTAAAGTGTTTAAAAATTATAGATAGCATTTATCAGAAAATTCAATTTTTTGAAAGGGGTTAAACCCACATATTACAAAAAAGTAAGAAATTTTTTTTATTTTTGTTTTACTGCATATTTGCATCATGAACTGAAATATTATGAATATTAAAGAGGTTTGAGACTTTATATGTTCTCATTTTTTCCTAGAAAATAGAGATTTTATTGGAATAAGTACACTAATTAGATCTTATATGAAGTGTTACAAAAAAAAAAAAAAAAAAAAAAAAAAAAAAAAAAAAAAAAAAAAAAAAAGATCTTATATGAAGTTTAAATAAATTGCGCATTGGAAAGTTAGGTATGATGACAATGTACCGTGAAAATATGTATAGACTACATTAATATACATTGAGAGTGTGGTTTGGTATTTTTAAAAAGCACTAAAGTGTCTAAAAATTATAGGTAGCATTTATCAGAAACTCCATTTTTCAAAGGTATTAATCCACATATTTCAAGAAAAATTAGAAATTTTTTATTTTTGTTTTAATTCATATATGCATCATTAATTGACATATTATGAATATTAAAGAGGTTTGAGACCTTATATGTTCTCATTTCTCTAGAAAATAGAGATTTTATAGGGGTTAGGACACTTATTAGATCGTATATCAAGTTTAAATAAACTACGCGTTGCAAAGTTAGGTATGAGGACCATGTACCATGAAAATATGTTTAGACTACATTAATATACATTAATAGTGTGGTTTGGTATTTTTACAAAGCGATAAAGTGTCTAAAAATTATAGGTAGCATTTATCGGAAAATTCAATTTTGTTTCAAACGTGTTATACAAGAAAAATAAAGATTTTTTTTTCATTTTTTGTTTTAATGCATATATGCATCATGAACTGACATATTATGAATATTAAAGAGGAATGAGACTTTATATGTTCTCATTATTCTAGAAAATATAGATTTTATAGGGATAAGTACACTAATTAAATCTTATATGAAGTGTAAATAAACTATCCGTTGGAAAGTTGGGTATGATGACCATGTACCGTGAATATATGTTTAGACTACATTAATATACATTGAGAGTGTGGTTTAGTATTTTTAAAAAGCACTAAAGTGTCTAAAAATTGTAGGTAGCATTTATCAGAAAATTCCATTTTTTCAAAGGTATTAACCCACATATTTCAAGAAAACTTAGATTTTTTTTTAATTTTTGTTTTACTGCATATTTGCATCATTAGTTGACATATTATGAATATTAAAGAGGTTTGAGACCTTATATGTTCTCATTTCTCTAGAAAATAGAGATTGTATAGGGGTTAGAACACTTATTAGATCGTATATAAAGTTTAAATAAACTACGCGTTGGAAAGTTCGGTATGATGACAATGTACCATAGAAATATGTTTAGAATAGATTAATATACATTAATAGTGTAGTTTGGTATTTTTAAAAAGCGATAAAGTGTCAAAAAATTATAGGTAGCATTTATCAGAAAATTCAATTTTTTTCAAAGGTGTTAGCTAACCCACATATTACAAGAAAAAATAATTTTTTTTTGTTTTAATGCATATTTTCATCATGAAATGACATATTATGAATATTAAAGAGGATTGAGACTTTATATGTTCTCATTATTCTAGAAAATATAGATTTTATAGGGATAAGTACACTAATTAAATCTTATATGAAGTGTAACTAAACTATCCGTTGGACAGTTAGGTATGATGACCATGTACCATGAAAATATGTTTAGACAACATTAATATACATTGAGAGTGTGGTTTGGTATTTTTAAACATCACCAAAGTGTTTAAAAATTATAGATAGCATTTATCGTTGAAGTCCATTTTTTTCACAGGTATTAACCCACATATTT